ACTAATTTCACACCAAACTCAGCTTAATTTAATGTCAATTATTTAAGTAATTTAATAATAATTTATTTAAAATGTATATATCATATATTTTAATTTTAAATATGTGTAAATAAAAATTAAAAACATCAAAATATGTATATAAGTACTTGAGTTTTATAATGATACTAATAATTACTTGAAATTTCTTAAAAGTCTTAACTTAAATAAGTATTAAATAATTAGAAAAAAAAAGAGTATTTAAGACATTTTATGTAATATTATGCAGTTGTTTACACCTAATATAAATTTCATATCTTTATTTACATATTTTAAAGTCTTAGGATTTATGTGCACTTATGAAATCATATCCTTTACTATTGAACAATTTAAAATTTTAACTCTTTCGGTGAATTGCACCTAACCTCTCAACTGGTTAGTTTTATCACCTTGATAAGTGCACCCCAGCCCTTTAAATTGGATTCGATCCCTCCTATCCCCGATTTATAATCTGTTAAAAAAAAAAAAAAAGTCTTTTGGTAAACTAATCCTAAACTATAACTATCCGGAATTGTAATTTCCCCTCTAATAAACAGCGATAAGGAATCCAAATAACCAACAGGCGTCTCTTTTAGGAGCTACAGTCCTCAGCAGGGAAAAAAAACGTTCGATACGTACACAAATTGGGGAATGTTGATGGCAAACTAAATTGTTAAGGTTATTATTTAAAAAAAAAAAGTTAAGGTTATTAAATTTATAATTTATTAGTATAAGGTTTGGTTTAGCAATATTGGTATGCAGCCAACAATATTTGCAATTTAATGATTATCTCTTTTCGTTGGAGGTAAGAGATCATAAATTCAATTCGTATGACGTTCAACTAAAGTGAAATAAAAAATGAAAAATAGTTGTTTCTCATTATGTAACCAAGATTAAAAAAAAAAACAATATTGGTATGTAGTTACAGTTATAAAATTTTTTATTTTTTAATATTTTAAAATATATAAAATATGTTTTATATTTATTTTAATTAACATTTTATGTATTTTTAAAATAATAAAAATATATAAAAACTAAAAAATAAAACACCAAAAAGTGTTATCAAATGAGGTCATTTATTAAATTTGTTTAGATATTTGGATACTCCAGTATATATATATATATATATATATATATTTACATAATTAAAAATTAATATTTTTAGTTATTGATCTTAAAACCTAAACTTAAATATGATTTATAAAATTTCACTTACTTCTCATTGAATCTATTAATTTTTTTTAGATATTAATTTTAAAACTTAAACCTTAACTTAACTTATAAGACGATAATTACTTATCAATAAATTCAATTCGAGTTATACTCCAATAGTTTAAAGAATTTATTGATCTAGTACTCTTCACAATTTAGATGATGACTTTCACTGAAAAAAAAAAAAAAGATAGTGATACTAACTATTTATTGATTTTTTTTTAGTGATTATGGTATTATCGAATTAGTTTGTGTGCACTTTGAAATTAATATACAAGGTTATTGATCTCATATTATATTGGTCAATATAGTCTGTATGTACCAATTTGAGAGTAAAACTGGTACACTATATTTTAAATACTGTCTTAGGTCAAACATCAATCATCTTGATCAAATACTGACTATATCAATCGAAATTTGGTGTACCAACCAATACACATAAATAACACACAAATAGGAACAGTTAAAAAAAGAAGGGGGAGAAAAAGCTTAAATGTAAAATGTAACCTAAAATATAATCTTGATTATGCCCAAATAAGATATATATGAGAAGAGAATTTGAAAAATGGGATTTCTTTTGAAGCCTAACAATATAGAGCATTATGAAGGTTAACCTTAACAATTCTTAAAATTTTAGTACTCTTAGAAATAATAGATACAAAGTTTTATTGAAATATTAAGTGAGAAAGTGAAAGTTTTAAAGAGAAAAAGAAGAGAAGCAACATATTTTAGATTGTTAATGGCTAAAAGAAGAAAAGGTTTTAAAGTTAAAACATTGGAGGGATTTTTGTTTTCTAGAAAATAAATGGGAGGCGGGGTTACATCATGTGAATTTAAGTCCACTTATTATGACAAATTAATTATAGTTTATTCTTTTCTTTTATACTATATAAATATTATGACATATGTTTATGAATAATTATCAAATTTTATATTTAATTTATAAAAATATATATATTTATAATAAAAAATATAAAACAGTACACTATTATTTGATATACGGTAGTTACCGTACCAATAGCACAATATGTATGCGTGCTAATATAATATTAACAATTGTGCTAATACATCCTCTGTTTGGACAATAATAGACCATCCATGCTAAAATTAGGAAATTCATAAGAAATTAAAATTTAAATCTTGATGAATAAAATAGAAAACAAACTCCTTGAATATTCCCTTGCTAAATACATCAGATTCTTTTAGCTAAAATATAATTAAAAAACATCTATTATAACTTCTTCTTTTTCTTTTTCTTTTTATTAACCATATAACATATTTGTTGTACCTTATATTGAAGTCCCTTTCCTCACCATTTTCTATTGAATGTGGCAAAATTGTTATATAAATGAGAAAACAAAAATATTTTGTGCAGTGTCCCTCGATTGAGTGTTGAAAAATTGTTCTATAAACTTATAAACAGAAATGTTCTGTAAATTTAGGAGATAAAAAAAAATATTTACAAATTATTAAGAAGATCAAAAGATAATAATAATAAAATAGCCATTAGGTGCGACGCTCCATATCAAAATTTAGAATTTTTAAAAAAAGAAGATTTAAAACATGTTCATAAAAGAAATAAAAAAAACTATTTTATATTGTAATATATATTTTGTATTGACATTGAATGATGTTAAAAATTTGAGATAAAAATTTAAAATTAATGATATGATATATGTCATATTATTAAATTAATTAATGTATATAATATTATGAGTTAAAAAATAAAAAATTAATTATTAAATAAT